GCAGTTGGTTGGAAACCTCTCCAAAGGTTCCATTAAATTCCTATTCACAATGTGCTCTGCAGCACAGGTGGCACATTGGCTTTTTCTTATCTCAGTTTAAAATACTGTCACCATTCCTTCAACCCTTACTGCTTGCTTAATCTTCTTTCTTTCTTCTTTTTTTTTTTTTTTTTTCATGAACCACAACATGCTTGAACTTAAGAATGCTGCTTAGCATGGAGGAACAGGGATGATTTGGAAGGCAAATGCAGTAGCTTATTGGCTTCCTGTTGCTTTTGGCTGGTTTTTCATGAGTTCTCCATAATTTGATTGCTGAATCCTTTTGTTTATTGGGACTCTGGAAAGGACTAACTTTATGGAGTTTTGTGTTTGAAACAGGTACATTTCTTTTTGCTACCATTTTAAGAATTGCTAGGGTTGTCTTACTGTTCTAGGTCAGCTCATGACAATGAATTGACACATTTATGAAATCACATTGATTCTAATTTTAGTTTTTCCTTGCATTTTAGGAATTTAAAGCTTTTTTTCTTTGTCCCTAACATGTTTGAATTGTGTTCTGGACATACCAAACTGTCCTTTACGCCTTGTGAGATCTAATATCATTCTGTTCCGGGATTTGTAAAGAATTACCACATAAAAAGAGAATGTTACTGAACAGGCGTTTTTGTCATTACTGCAGGACAGTCGTGAAATATCTTGCAAATTTCGGAGGATGTTGCAATATTCTTTTGTTTTTTTCTTTTTCTTTGAAGGGCATATGATAGAGAAAGATAATGCAGCAGTTTTTAACATGTTTTTTAAAAAAAAAATTCTTCAAAGTTAGAAAAGCAGTATGAAAAGAAAAATTATTTTCAACTAATTAGTCACAGATATCAGCTAGCAGTTACAGGCTAACTGAGAATCATCCCCTTAAAGTTATTTTAAGGGACTGAGCCCATGGAAAATTTCTTACTTCAGTTAATTTTGATTCAAGTATTGGGAAAGGCCCATAATAAGTACAATAAGGAAATCAACATTTTCTTTCTATTTCCCTGTCTTATCAGGAACTGCCTTACTATAGTTAATTTAATGTCTGCTGAGCTGTTTTGGGAAGCATGTGTCTATGTGTATGCATTTTCCTCACAGTGAGTATTTATGACAATTGAAGAGAAAAAAGCATTCTTGGCATTTCCCCAAAGAATGTTAGTCTTGATATACAGCTGTATTTCTATTTCTGTCTCAGCTGGAAAATTAGATACTTTCTGATGCAAATGCTGTGCTATGGCATTTTTGTGTCAAGCAGTGACACCTTCTACAGAAAAGAATTTTTCAAAAAGTTATTCATATGCCCAGTTAAAATTTGAGTGCAATACATTTCTGCAGAAATATTTAACATTTTTTCAGTGCTTTGCTTCACGCAAACAACCCACTACTGAAAATTTGAAGTTGTAAATACTGCTTAAAGATGAAAAAACATTTAATCTTTGGTATTGTATAAAGAAAAAGCTGCCAAAAATCCCTGGTTCTAAAAGACTTTCTTAGTCTACTGTTTAGCCTTGGAGTATAGCAACCTTATACCCAAAGGGTATGTAAAACATGTTAAAATAGATTCAGCTTAAAAAACAGCAATTAAGTTTATAACTACCATACATTGTGTTGGCTTTTTAGTGGAAGTAACTGAAAATCAGAAAAAAGAACGACCATAAAAATTACTTTTGTAGATGTATATGTAAACTGTCTAACTATTGCTTAAAGAAACAGCAGACTTGTTCTGCTTGTTAAAATCAGAATTTCTTAATGTTATTTTAAAAAATAAATAAATTCCAGCTAAGTGACTAGTAAAATAGTCTCTTCCTTAAAAAATTCATTGCTGAAAGAAGGCTATTTCCAATGCATGAGATATCACACTCTACTTAGTGTTAAGAATTTGACTTCTCAGAATTATGCCTTTTATTTTGTTTTCTATTTAAAGCTACCTGAATATGTTACAGTGTCTAGGCCTTGGGCATACTCATTGCAGTGGTGAAGGCATTTCCTGTTGACTTTGTTGGCTTGTTGTGAGATTCCCCTTGGGATGTTCCTTTTATATTTTCTTCTGACTTGCTTATTTTGTTTTCACAACCAATTTCACAAGGGTGACATTTTCTAGAATAGTCAATTTCTGAGGCATTCACCCGGAACAAGGGATGAGAGATGTTAAATATCTGTTTTGAATCACTCATATGAATAACCTGAGGCAGATTTTCCAACCGCCCAGACAACTTCCAGAGCTGTGAGGCACCAGCTCCAGTAAACTGATCTTTACTTCTTTGCATTTTCTTTGGTTGAGCATTTGGTTTTTAAAATGTAGGGAAGACCAGAAATAGTTCTCCTCCTTCACGAAAAGGAGTGTAAACAGAAGAGAAGGTTTGGAAGGCTCTGGGGAGAGCCTATGTAAGATCTGATTTGCTGCTTATATTGCTGTAAGGAGGCAGTGGCTGCTGTTGGGAGTCATCCCTCCCTTCTTTTTTCCCTTTGGCAGTAAGTTCTTCCTGGTATTTCCAAAGACAGCAGCAGACTTTACTTTCTAGGGATTTATCACAAATCATGTAGGCAGCAGCCAGTTTAGCTTATGCCTTTAAGTTAGACCTGAATCTCTGAGAATAAATGCACATGAGAATGTCTTCCATGGTGATATGTTTAAAACGCAATTCCTGTTATATTATTATAATAATATTCCCCTTATTGACTTGACAACTTAAATTAGTGCTATATGCATGGACCAAGAGAAGATTTTCATTTACTGAACAGTTTCTTATTGATATTATTGCATTTACTGAGGCTTGCTTTGATAGAATCAATCTTTATAGCTGCTTCACAGCTTTCCGACACAAATATCTATAAATACAAATAAATACATGCATACACATACATATGCAAATATATGTATATATTTGCATTTATTCACAGTGATCAGCAATATTATCTTTTGATGTGTGGTGAAAAAGGATGTGTTTGGATATGCTTTCACAGTCAGAACCTATTTACTGGATTTGTAATTGCGTAGTAAGATCCTGTGGTTCTTTGGGCAATATTTATTAGGCTCACACAGAGCAAGGAGCTGACTCTTGCTAGTTCCCTGGAGGCTGAAGATATCAGCTTCAGGATTTCCTGCGGCATCAGTTAGTGCAGTGACTGAGAAATGAGATTTTGATTTCAGAAAGCTTGACTAAGGTCTGCAGTAAAATGTGGCATAACACATTGTGGTATCTACTCACTGTGCTCCTGGAAAATTAACCTTTATTGCTAGCTTCTAAATTCCTTAATATCTGTATTATTTATAACTGCCAGTGGTCATGCTACTTTGTTAAATTTTAAAGTTAACTAAAAATGTTAGTATTACACATAATTTACCTCCTAGCAATCCCATATTTAATATTTAATTTCTAAGTTGCCTAAATTTTCTGAAGTAGCATGTGAATGTACGCAAGTGAGACTTTCACTGTGATTCTAGAATGCTGAAGCTTGTTAAAGACCGAGAATGAACAAACAATTCTGTATTTCTCTGTGAGTACAAATATTGTTATAAAAAATAAGATATACAAACTTGTCAAAATTTATTATCTCACTTCCTCATCTTTATTAAATACATAGTAATGAATGTAGTAGATTTGTGCTTAGTTCTGAAATGTCATGAAATGTAAAGCTTTAATATGTATTATACATGAAGTCATAATTTTTTAAGCAATTCTTCCCATAATGTCCTTTTTTATACCCCTAATGTTTTGTATTTCTAACCTGTTCTCTTCTAAAATGAAGATATTTTAAGATACTGCTTTCAAAAAATGTCTTGGGTACTCAGTAACCTGATTATCAATGAAAGTGCAAAAGATTCATGGTCACTTTAGAACTCAAAACTTGTACTATGTGGCACCTTCTGAGACTTTTTCAGTTGCTGTCCAGTGCTGTGATTAATGGAGGTGAATATCAAAACCACATTGGTTTAGTCTGGGTCTTAGTTATAATATTAAAGAACCATTGATCCCAGCCCTTTCTTGTCCCCCTTAGACAAGAATATTTTTGTGTAAGCTACTCTAATGAATATAGATAGCATAGATAGGCTGCTGTCTAGCTTGAACAGGCAGATTTGTCCTCCTTTCCTCTTTCAACACACTGAAATATTAGATATTAGCCCTACCAACCTATCCTGAAGAAAGTTGATAATCATCATGCGTAGATGACGTTAATTCCTCTTACTTAGATGAGGAATTAACAAAATGTTTAGTCCCTGCTTTCACCACCAGTTCATGCCACTTAATACCCAGAGTAAATAAATAGAAATGCAGATCTTTTATTCACATGTTGGAGGTGAAGGCTAAAGCACAGTCTGTGCTCTGCTTATCTCCATTCAAATTAACATTCACTTCTGATTTAGTGCAGTGAACATGTTAGTTTGAACTTGCATGGGAACTTGCTAGCCTAAAAGGAAGTTGCAAGTGTCTATGCTGGTTACTTTGATGTTCTCTTATTTCCCCCTTTCTCTGTTCCCAAGAAGATGACCAGATTTTTTTTCAATCAAATGTTCATTTTATTGTCAATCTTCTGCTCAGTTTGTGGTATTAATAAATGAGAGCAAAACTAATGAAGAAGGGCATTATTTTCTTTTTCATGTTGGTGGGTGGAAAAGGTTGTATGATAAAAAGAAATAAATAGATATTTCATGAGATTTGTTATAAAGTTTTAACAGGGACCTCATGAATTTTCAATATGTAGACACAGTTGTAGCTTAAGTTCCAGGGTTAAATATAGTGTGTGTGTGTGTTTGTTTTATAATGATTTTGTTTTGCATACTTTTTAAAAGAAAGAATAAAACATTTTTAGTGCTTTAAATTCCTCACAAAAGCTCTATTTAGCTTTTCCACAATGTCAATATTATGATTCTTTACTTCGAGGTTGTTTCAGCACCAATGTACAACCAGTGTTTCTTTCTATTTTTTTTTTTTTTTTTGGTACTCCAGGAAGCAGCCACGGAAAGACAGAAGATGAAAGCTCCTATTCCCAACTTGATTCTCTTGTATGCTACTCTGACTCAGAGCTTGAAGGTTGTAACCAAAAGGGGATCAGGTAAGTAAAACTTTATCTCTGTGGTTACAATGTGGCTTGGAAAGAAGTGCTTAATGTTTGCAAGCATACACCAGAATGTTGTTATGGCGGTTTGGAATACAGTTAAGAGGATTTCAAATTCTGGAGCAAGAAGAGTTGGGAGCTTCTATATATTTTTTGACTATTGTTTTATGTGGACTTAATGAAAAAAATCAGATGTGTAATGTGAAATGAGTATAAACTTTCACCTGCTGAAGGAAAGTTATTCCCGTAACTTTTTAACTTACTTAAAAGACTACATTGCAGTCAGTGATGTTGGGTTTGTTGTTGGGTTACCGGATTTATCTGTTTTATTATATACTTTGGAAAATTAAGATCATAGAGTTTGGGTTTAGGCAACAACAAATAGATCAAACACAGTAAATTTAATAACCACGAAAAGTGAACAGCAAAATGTGTTTTTGAAAGGGATACCTAATATGTGGTTGAAGAGTTTAATCCAGCAAAGCAAAATAGTTGGTATTCACAGTTGGGTAGTTTTGGATTCATTTTTTTCTCTGTCACCCTGAAATTTTAATTTTATTCTCTTTGGCTTTTTACTGGGTAATGAAAAAAATAAGATTCTATGTCTGCAACCTATCTTGCTATACTGCACTAAAGCAAGCTAAATCCTTAATGAAAGCCTTAATTCCTTGTTGGTGGATTAATGAAAATCTTAATCCCATGTTGATTGAATTAGTTAATTGGGTTTGTTGTTCGTTGTACATTTCCTTTTGGCAGTGGAGTGTTTTAGGTAGCTTTTGTTGTGCTGTTTCAGAAGTCTGTCTCTGATTTATTTTTGTCTTTTGGTTGGTAGTAGTTGTAAACTGGTGCTTGGGGAGAACACAGCTCTTTATGCATTTTTGGCAACATCTTAAATTGTACCTTCCATTTTCAATGGATTATCTTTCTAACAACAAAATGAAACGGATTATGTCTCCAATGCTTTAGTAGCTGGAAATGTTGATGTAGGGAAGGCAAACATGGAGTACTACTACAAAGTAAGGTATTCCTTAATGAAAACTTGAGATTAAAGTATATTTGGGGTTATTTAAACTCAAGAAAACTGAAATACACAGATTGTGTGCAGAGCAAAGGATCTGGCGATAGGTTGAAGTGTTTATAAGCTGCTGTAGCCTTGATATAATGTAGATATCCTGTGAATATGTCTGGCTAAGATTGTCCTGTTGATTAAGATTTAATACTTTTAAGCTTGAAGTCAAGGCCCCTTAATTCAAATATAATAAAAACATTATTGATCTTAGAGTAAATTTTACAAAGACATCCATTTTTAAGAATCTAATAAAAGGTCCAGCTATCACCTGTTACTTGAAAGTAACAAGGATAACTTGGGTTGTCTTTGCATTTTATTGCACAACTTTTTGCCTCTATCCTCTTCATCTGATTAACCAATGCAAGGAAAAAATGGCAAATACACAATGAAATTTATTTTTGGGAAAGTAATATAATTGCTGTCCAGCAAAAGAAAAAACATACAAAATTTTTCAATATGTATAGAATTTGTTCTCATGCAGATGCTGTAATAAAAAGGAAAAGCTATAATGGATATCTTTGTATCATGTCTTACTGTAACATGGGGTCTTGAAGTTTTTGCATGCTGGTCCTGTGTAAAGCTTCAATTAGATGCATCACCAAGGAGGCAGTTTGTCATACAATGTGTGCAAAAGAAAAAATCTCTGATTTACTGAAATCTCAGATCCTTCTGCCTTTGGCCATGCTGCTTTGTGATTGAAGATTTGAAGAACTTCCTCAGTGCTAGGTGGAATGTTGTGTAATGGTTTTTGGTTTGCTTTTGTTGTTTGGTTTGATTTGGTTTGGCTTGGTTTAGTTTTTTACATCCCTTGGGTGCTCAGGAGGGCTATTTTTTGCAATCCTGAAGTGTTTCTACAAGGAAAACCTTATTTAACAGAAGTTTTAACAAAATAATGTTGACTTGTTCGTACTGTGAAACTATAAATGGTTTCCCAATATTAATGCAAATCATAATTGTGAGTAGGAAAAAATATCAAAAAACTATCAAAGTATGAAAAAATATCGAAAAATATTCTACTATTGGAAAGTAGAACTTGAGTTTTATGTGAACCTCTTAGCCAGAGGCAGAGTGTGGTGAGGGCATGGTTTAAATCTCTTCATTCAGTTACACTTGTGAGTGCATTTTGTTCCTGAAATGTCACCATGAAAGCTAAGAAAAAAATTAAAAAGTAATATTTTATACTTACGAGTTGTTATAAATATGGAGTTGCGGCATCCACCCAGTACATCTTTTTGAGATGTACTGCTTTTCTTTTTTTCCTTCTCTATTATAAATTACAGGAATGTGATAAAGTTAAAGAAGTTTACACCAGTATGCTAAATGGTTGTTCTAATTGGGATTTATTCCTTCTAATTGACTTATGTTGAGCCTGTTTCTGATGACCAAACCTAAAACCACAGAACTTGTGCTATTTATTTATTTATTTATTCAATGTATACATTTTCATATATATTAGATATTTAAATATATTTATTAAATATATAATATCATTTATTTTATGTTCATTTTATATATTCAGTATTTAATATTAAAAAGAGATCTGTCCTTGAAAATATGTCAATATGGTCAGAGTACTTGACCTCTTTTCTGTCTATTTATGAGCTCTGCTAAAAAGATAGCGGTTAATAAAATAAAAACGAGTTTGTCAGTCTGGTGGAGATGCATTTCCAACAACTTCTCTGATTTTTCAAGAAGTTCAGAAAGTCATTTTCTAAAAATCCATAGCAATTCAGGCTTTTAGGACTGAAGTTATATCAAGTAATTAGCTATATGTGGAAACAATTAGAATCAATATAGTATTCCTGCTTTTGTTTGTTTGAGAAGAGGGTTAAAAAGACTTTACAATAGAAGAAATCTTAGGTTGTGCTGCATTGGATTTGATCTCTGATCATGAGGGTGGTCCTTATACAAAGCACTTAAACTACTTCAGGGTGGTCTTTGAATCTTTTTACCACTGTGTGCTATGAATCAAATTAATGTAATAATATAGGGCATAAAGGGAACAGTACTAATCAAATATTTATTACATTATCCAGAAAACATACTTTAAATTAGTTTGGTCACAGCTTTTCCATTTACCTGTTTAACACTTTATCTTGTATGATCATCTCTATTTGACAGAAGAGACTTTTTTTTTACAGTTAATATTTTAAATAAGTTCAGAACAGTTTCAAGTCACTCTTTAATATATGTCGGAGTTCTTTTACATTAAGAACGTGTGATGACTGTGCTTGTTACAGGAGAATGGATGGGTGAGCAGTTGTAATAAAAATTCCACTACTAAATACAGATGATACAAGAAACTTCTTCCTAATCCATCTATGCAAAAAACTTATAAGCACACCTTAACTTCTCCTGTCAAGTAGAGTTGACCATACAAAACCTGCAGGTTCTAATGCCTTCTTAAGAAAGAAAAAAAGGATTCTTTGCTGTAAGCCTTCCTGTTCCAACCACTAACTTCACAGTGGACATCATGGTTATTAATTGGGTGTTTCAGATATTCAGTGAAGTCTCCTGAACTGTAGAGGCTTCAGAGCCTGCAACAGTAACTGCAGAGAGGAACCTTCTTTTGTCAAGTAATGGATCTCAGATAAGATTTGCTAAATGGGAAGCTGACTTTTCCACTACTTCTCTGCTCCTTTAAATATCTTAAAGCATCTTCCTTCATGAAACAGTTCCTGTCTGAACAGTTTGCAGCGATCTGCTTGATGCAAAGGAAGAATAAATACTTAAAGCCTACATATTTTGATTAATTCAGCACATAGTTTTACAGGAAGTGAGTTTTAAAGGATTTGAATTAAACTTCAAAAATGTAGAAGATAATGCCTGTTTCTTAGCATGAAACCAAATTACATATAAATTTGTGATGTGCCTAAAATGTGTGTAGATTTACTTTTTGTGCAGTTAAGTTCAGTCCTTGATAGTATTTTGAGAACTTCATGGTAATGAATTTATAAATGCTTTTGTTTCAGCGACTTTTCCTGAAATTATCCAGGTTCATAGTTTGATCTAAATTGTTGTCTTTCTTTCTTTATTTTTCTTTTTTTTTTTTTTTTTTTTTTTCGCTTGTGTTTTTAACTTCCACACATCTTTTTTTTTAAATTTTTGTTTTTTTTTTTTTTTTTTTTTTTTTTTTTTTTTTTTTTTTTTTTAGTCGTGTGGTTTTACATTCGTAGAACTTAGATTTCTAAAAGTCTTTTCTTTACAGGTGGAATGGTATTTGATCACTTACTTGTGCTGAACAGAGTTTTGGCTTATGAATTATTTAATATTCATCAAAGAGGAAGTAGGTTAGGAAAGAGAGCCTCATGCTGATGCGTATAGACTTTTTCACTATAATATATATGTTAAATGAAATACTTGAACCCTGCATTGCCATCTGGTGGTTTTTTCCAAGGATGCTGAATAGACAAAAGAAAGAAAGCTTTGGGAATTTTTTACTTCAAAAAAAACCCAAAAAACACACAAATGTGGTAAAAGGGAAAATGTGGGATATAAGTATGAAAAGAGATCTCATTACATAAAACAATTATGAGCTGATCAGTATATTCAGACAGTATTATTGTATTCACTTTTTCACGCTCAGATTGCCTAATAACAATCTGACTGCCTTGCATCAAAGAGGTGTAAGTTGCTATTACTGCCTTTAGTTTTCTGATTTTCAACAGATTATTCTGCATTATGGATTAATTAATAGCCTGTTTTCAGTTCTGCTATTGTGAATAGATTTTTTTTTTTTTCTAGATCAAATTTATTCTACGATGGAATGATTTAACTGGAAGGAAAATCTTTCCAGTGATGGGTTTTTCAGACATGCATGCGATCCTTCACATCATTATGATGAGATTAAAGTCTAGATATGTATTTTATTGTGTAGCAGTAGACTGCTTCTCTTTTTAATGTCTAGTATTTTTTGCCTTAGCTATTA